GCTCTGGCAAGAGCTCTGCATTGTCATCATTATTCCCAACCTCTTGGCAGCATTCGAGACTATGGCTCACCCTTTCCTTTATATCTGGGCCACGTACTGCTGACTCTTAACTCTCTGGTCTCTCATTCTTTGGCTCTACTTCTTCCTAATGTCTCCAAAGTGTCATACTTAGCTATGTACTTCAAAGCTCAGATTTCTATTTTGTGTTACTTCCCCATTTACGGCTTTCTCTCTGTCTCTTTTTCAAAAAAATTCTATTTCCATTTTTTTTTTACAGAGAGAGGGAGAGAGGAGAGAGAGAGAGAGAGAGAGAATATGGGTGAGAGAGAGAGAGAGAGATAATTGGTTGCCTTTCATACATGCCCCAACTGCAGATTGAACTTGTAACTTGGATATGTGCCTGACTGGGAATCGAACCTACCACCTTTGTTGTAAGAGATGGTGCTTCAATCAACTGAGCCATACCGGCAGGGCCTCTCTCATTTCTAAGTGGATAATTCTCAAATCTGCATCTCTACATTCTAACACCTCATCTTCCCATCCATGAGATCTGTCAGCACCTGAAGCAACTTGAGTTAAACTTGCTGGAACCATCCAGCTAGTGTGGTTCAGTGATTGAGCATTGACCTCTGAACCAGGAGGTCACAGTTCCTGGTCAGAGCACATGCCCAGATTGTGGGCTCAATCCCCAGTAGGGGGCATGCAGGAAGCAGCTGATTGATGATTCTCTTTCATCATTGATGTTTCTCCCTCTCCCATCCTCTCTCCAAAATCAATAATAATGTATAAAATATTTTTTAAAAACTTGCTGGATGTATCTTTCTTCCCAAAACAATTTCCACTTCAGAATTCTATTTTTCTCAGAATTATAGCCAATATTCTCTCTTCTTGGTTCTAAATCTTGGAATCAACTTTGATTCCTCTTCTTTCCTCATCTCCAGCCAGGAAAAAAAAAGTTAATTTTTCCTTGTAATGTCTCCTACCTGGTGCATCTTACCTATTTATACTGTCATCAGTCTTCTCCATCCAAGCGTCCCTCATATCATCTACATAGCAGTTTCTAACTCTAGGTCCTCCCACTTCATCCCTCCACTATGAGTTGACACATCAATTACAGTGTTAAGTGACTCCTTATTAAGTACCAAATAATTACAGATGCTTTAGCTTAATATTATGAATTTCCACAATAAGTCCACAATGGACATTTCCCCCCAAGAGTGATTTTGGAATGTAGCAGGAACCTACTGAAAGTTAAATTGTATGTTAAAAGATCCAGTAGCTGGACTCTTGAATCCAAAAGATATCCTCTGCCCGATCTTACTCTGCTCCATCTCAGTTCAGCCATCACAGCCTTTCATTCTTCTAACTTCCTCTCTGGATTTAACATCTTCATGTATCTTCTACTGGGCCCTGAACCTGGTTGATGTTCTGGCTTTCAACTTCTGATCTGCCTCCTGATCCAGGCTGGCTATTAGGGGTATAGAGCACTCTGGCATGATCCCTCCTTCACACTCAGCACTCCCAGTGCCCAAGAATCAGATGGGGAATGTGTTAGGAATGTAAATTCCAGAACACACCTCTCACTCAGGTCAGGGGTGTAGACAGCATCTATAGCAGTATTGTTCAATAGAACTTTCTATGAAAATGGAAATGCTCTATTCTGTGTTGTCCAATAGAGTAGCTACTAACCATATGTGGCTATTGAGCACTTGAAATGTAGTTAGTATTCCTAAGGCACTAAATTATTACTTTTATTTAATTTTTATCAATTTAAATTTAAATAGCCACATGTGACTGGCTACCATATTAACAATGCAGATCTATAATTTAACAAACACTGATTCTAATGAGCAACAGTGTTTAACAAACACTTTAACAAGCAGTCCAGGTGACCCTTATGTTCACTTACTGGCACATAGTAGGTAATCAACAAATGCTTATTGAATAAATGGATGCACAAATGAATACCTAAAAGAACCAGAATATAATTACCTTAAAATTTAAATCTGTCTTTTCTGAAAAAATTGAGGGGAACTTTCCCAGATTAAAAAGACTAAAAACACTAACAAAATGTAATAAATTGTATATATGACATTTTGGGGATATATGGAGAAACATGTTACATGATGTTACAAATTATTTTGTTTTCTTAGGTAAAATTATGTTATTACAATTACAAAGGAAAATGTCTTTATTCTTAGAAAATATATGCTGAGATACTTAGGGATGCTGTGAAGATATCAGCAACTTATTTTCAAGAGCTTTGGCCACAAATGTGTGATTGTGTGTGTATGGAGAGAGAGAGAGAGAGAGAGAGAGAGGAAGCAAAACTGGCAAATGTTAACAATTATTGAATCTAGGTAGAGTATACTTGGGTGTTTATTGTATATACTCGAGGCCTGGTGCATGAAATTTGTGCAGGGGGCAGGGCACTTGGTTCTCCAGCCTGGCCTGTGCCCTCTCACAGTGCGGGAGTCCCACAATCAATCTCCCCAAAGAGCTAGGCCCCGCCCACCCAACCAGGGCTCCTTGATGGATTGCCCCAAAGAGGTAGGCTCGAGCCGGGGGTCCTGCCCCTGGCGTCACCATGTAGTGCTGCCAGGACCTGCCTCTATGCTGCGCATGCAGCATCAAGTCCCCACCCACCCGCATGTGCCCGCTGCGCACACAGCCTCCTGATAATGGATTGTTACGGTGTTAGGGCATGAGGGCATCACGGTGTGAGGGCGTGATGACCACATAGGCTTTTATTAGTATAGAGTCTTTCTGTATATTTGAAAAAACAATTTTAAAGTTGAAGGAAAATTCACCCACAATGAATTGGCAAATCCTAAAAAAATAAAAATTTTAAATACTGCATTTCTTCTGACTGTTATAGCATAGTAAGAAGCTAGGAAAATTCCAAGACAAGTGGAATAGGGAAACTAAGACAAATAGTTAAATAGCAGTTTGCAGCCACCAAGTAAATCCTGTCTTTCCTAAACCAAGGACACTTAAGAGTAAATACTTTCTACTTCTCCTCCCCAACTAGAGGATAAATAGCTTAAATCTCCCTACTCGGGGAGAGAGAAAACAGAAATTCAATTAAGTGCCATTTGCCAACCACACCCAAGGACAGACAATTTAAGAGAATAAATCTCATCCTGACACATCAGCATAAAGCTGATGAATTTTCTATTGATCTTCCCCTAACACTTCTTCTAAACGTCCAGCCTTTAAAACCCCTGAAAATGGAGGTCCCAGGGCACTCTCCCTCCAGGGAGCAAGCGTAGGCCATTCCCTTTCCCCTCACCTGCCCCCACAGGCACATATCCCTTAACCTTTAAGGAACCCCATAAGACTTGAAACCAGGGGAGCAATAGGCAGCAGCAGCTCATCCTGGTCTAAGCCCCTGAACCTGTCTCCAAGGCCCCCTTTTCTTTGACTTCCCAGTGAGCCAAAGCGGCCCAGCCTGGGTTCCCTTGCTGCTTTTTCTATGCCAGTGATGGCGAACCTATGACACGCGTGTCAGAGGTGACACGCGAACTCATTTTTTTGTTAAATAGCATTTAAATATATAAAATAAATATCAAAAATATAAGTCTTTGTTTTACTATGGTTGCAAATATCAAAAAAATTTCTATATGTGACATGGCACCAGAGTTAAGTTAGGATTTTTCAAAATGCTGACACACTGAGCTCAAAAGGTTCGCCATCACTGTTCTATGCCCAGTTTCACTGTCCTAGGTGTGTTTTTGCTGAGGCCAATAAATTCTTGCTTGTTTTTCTACTTTTTGTCTCTTGATTGAAATCTTTCCTTCAAGAAGACAAGAACTGAGGTCTCCTCATCTTGACAGTAACATGACTTTTGGGTGCTAACCCCTTCCCAGACCGACACAGTACTGAAATTATGCTAATTCTCTAGGCCAGGTGTTGCAAAGTGGCAACCACAGATCTATGTAGGCTGCATACATGTTTTTCCTTGGTCCAAATAGAGGTTTTTAAAAAAATTAGTTGCCAACATTTAAAATTTCAAGAATTTTTATCTTGACATATTATGTAATAAAATGTTTGTAACATAATAAAATATAAAATACTTAAAATAGCAAACATGTATAGGTAACTTCCTATCAGACATGTACTATCCCAAGAGTTTCAGGTACTGTATTTAATTAATTTGTTCCTCACAATTGGTAGGTACTACTATTTTTGTCCCTTTACAGATGGGGAAAGTGATGAATAAAGAGGTTAAGTAACTTTCCCAAAGTCTCATAGCTATGACTTCTAGTACCAGGGTGAAATCCCATGCTATCTGCCTCATAACCACTACACATACCACCACTTTAAAAAAATCTACATCCCTCATTTCTCTGGGAAAATCAGAAGATCTGGAAACACATTCCCACCTGGGACCAACTGACAAGAGCCCAAAAGCTACATTCCCCTGAAGGCAGGGTAACTTCCATTTGCCACAGTCCCCACTGCTTCTGGGGCCTTAGGGGTTTGGCTCTGCTCTAGCCACAGCACAGCTGAATACACCAGTGAGTGACACGTGACAGATATTTCACCCGTGCACTGCCCAGATTAAGCCAGATGTCAGGCAACCCTCTATGTGGACATGACGCCCCAGTTTCATGAGAAGATTGGATGGTGTCGAAGTGGAATGTCAGGATAATTGTTGGTAGATAGTGGAAAAAAGTTACAAGAAGCATAAGTTACACACCACATGGTTGGCAAGAAGGCCCCATCAGAGGGCAGTGTGGGTCAGTTGAAAAGAGCATAGATTAGGGTGCCCTGGGTTGGGACCTGATTTCATCACTTAGCTGCTAGACAACCTTGGACAAGCTATTTAACTTCTCTGGCTTCCATTTCCTTGACTATAAAATGGGGCAATGGCACCTTTGGGGTGGTAGAAGGAATTAAATTAGAGAGAGTATGTGAAGTCCCTTTGGCCCCTGTTAATATAAATAACCAAAATTCTTACTAATCATTCATATTTGTATTTTTATATTTTCCCCTAGAGTTACAAAGCAAGAAGAAATTCAGAAGCTATGGTAAGTATTAAGTTCTTCTTGGATCTTTACGTATTAGGGGTCCAGGTCTGGCTTTATTTAGCCTGTAGCCTAAGCAGCTGGCATACTTGTCCTTATGGTTTGATGATCTTTATTGGCTTTTTGCCAAACCAGGGCTGCTAGAGCAGAACCTGGAAGAAATGGATATGGAGCAGGAGAAAAATCAGAGAGCTAAGAAAGATTTGTGAGCAAAGATTTTTAGTAAACCTTTAAAAATAAAAAGCAAAAAAATGCAGCAATAATGTAAGTGACTAACAATTTCTTCATTCAGTGTATTATTGAGTACCTATAATGGTCCAGGCCCAGTGACAGGTGCTAGAGATGCAGATGTAGACAACACCAGACATGGCCCTGTCCTCCCAGCATGTCCCCTGGTGGTAGCTGGTTAAATGAATGAAAGCACTTTCATTCTGGAATGTACACTGCCATTATGAAGAAAGTTTATAGAGAATAATTAATAAAACAGCCTAGTCTCATGCTATAGTAGCAAGTTAAAAAGCAGGATGCAAAACTGCATTCACAGTATTAACTGTGTACTATAAATCACCCATAATCCACAACTTAAAAATAATAATTGTCAACATTGAACATCATTGCATTTAGCACTGGTTTATTTCCTATTCTAAACACCTCTATTATATACATAAAATGAACATACGGAAAAGAGCAGTATAGTTATTATTTCTGGATTGTGGGATTATGAGTGATTTTTTGCTTTTTCTCTATGATGTTCTATACTTTCCAAGGTTCCTATCAGAAGCACGTATAAACAGGAAATAAGTCCATTAAAAACACAGTCACAGTCACACATAGAGCTTCTCTCCCAGCATTCATTTGTCTTCTCTTCCCCTTGGCCTTTGGTTTTTCCAGGGCAAGGCACGCAGGCCTCCACCAGGACAGCACAGGCATTGTGAGAGATGCTTCAACCGTCACTGCCACATTCCCGTGGAGCCCAATGTCTCCTGCATGGTGATAAACTGCCGCCTGTCCTGTGGTGCCACCTTCCACATGTGCAAAGAGGCAGAGCATGAGCTCCTCTGCCCTTTAGAGCAGGTTCCATGCCTCAACTCTGAATATGGTTGCCCCCTTTCCATGTCCCGCCACAAGCTGGCCAAGCACCTGCAGGTGTGTCCCGCCAGCGTGGTCTGCTGCTCCATGGAGTGGAACCGCTGGCCAAATGTGGACTCCGAAACACCCCTTCATAAGAACATCATGAAAGAGACCCCCAGCGAGGAGTGTTTGGACACAGCCCTGGCCCTCCAGGACCAGAAGGTCCTTTTCAGATCTTTGAAAATGGTAGAACTTTTCCCAGAAACTAGAGAGCCCACGGAGGAGGAACCTACTATGAATGGTGAAGCCAGCTGGGAAGAAATGGGAGGAGCGGTGGGTGGAGCAAATGCTGGTTTAGTGCCACATAGCTCCCAGTCGGCCACTAAAGAAGAGATGACAGAACTGAGTCAAGAAGAACTCCAGGTGTTGGCCAAAACCAAAGAAGGGATGGACCTGGACAAGTTTAGCAAGTGGGAAAATATTTTCAGCAAAGAGCATGCAGCCTCTGCTTTAACAAACTCATCAGCGAGCTGTGAGAACAAGAGCAGTAATGGCCCAGGGAAAGAACAGATTTCCGTCACCAATAACATGATAGGAGAGGCCAGTGCCGAAGAGAAAGAATCACAGGAGAACCAGAGACAGCAGGACTATCATGCAGCTATGGAAACAACAGGGCTTGCCCCTTGGCAGGATGGTGTTCTGGAGAGACTGAAGTCGGCTGTGGATGCAAAGGACTATAATATGTATCTGGTGCACAATGGGAGGATGCTTATCCACTTCGGTCAGATGCCTGCTTGTACGCCTAAGGAGAAAGACTTTGTTTATGGCAACCTAGAGGCTCAGGAAGTGAAGACTGTATATACCTTCAAAGTTCCTGTGAGCTACTGTGGGAAGCGGGCTCGTGTTGGAGATGCCATGTTGAGTTGTAAGCCAAGTGAACACAAGGCAGTAGACACTTCAGACTTAGGGATCACTGTGGAGGACCTGCCCAAATCAGATCTCATCAAGACCACCCTCCTGTGTGCTTTGGAAAGAGAACTCAAAGGTCACGTCATCTCTGAATCCAGGAGCATTGACGGGCTATTCATGGATTTTGCTACCCAGACATACAATTTTGAGCCAGAACAGTTTTCCTCTGGAACAGTGCTGGCTGACCTCCTAACCACTGCCAACCCAGAGGGGCTCCATGTGGAGCTCCACAGTGAGTGTGTGACCAGGAGACACAACAAGAGCAGCTCTGCCTTCACTTTCACCTGCAACAAATTCTTCAGGAGGGATGAATTCCCCCTGCATTTCAAGAATGTCCACACTGACATTCAGTCATGTCTCGATGGCTGGTTCCAGCATCGGTGCCCCCTCGCCTACTTGGGATGTACATTTATTCAAAACCATTTCCGTCCCCCAGGGCAAAAGGCAAAATTGATCTATAGTCAAGAGCTCAAGACCTTTGCCATCAAGCCGGAGGTTGCTTCAGAGCTGAATGAGGGAAGGAAGAACAACCATCTCTCAGGCCCTAGAGGAAAAGGCCAAAATTCTCTAACCAGCCTGCCCTTGGAGATTTTGCAGTACATTGCTGGGTTCTTGGACAGCATCAGCCTGTCCCAGCTCTCCCAGGTGTCTGTGCTGATGAGGAATATCTGTGCCACTTTGTTACAAGAGCCAGGGATGGTCCTCCTGCAATGGAAGAAGAAGAAGTATTCCCATGGAGACACCTCCTGGAGAGTCCACAAAGAGGCAAGTAAACACTCATCCATTCATTCAATAAATATTTAAGAGCCTTTTGTGTGACAAACACTGTACTAGACACTGGGATTCTACTAAGTTACTGGGAATAAGACATAATTCCTGAGCTCAAGGTCAGTCCACCAGGCAAGACAGACTGATAAACATATTAATGGCAATACAAATGGCAGTGCCTGTTTATCTCTATGTATGTGTCCTGGATATCTTCTGTGTGCTCCAATGATCCATTCTCCAACCTTCTCCACCAAGATCTGCCTGCTCTCCGACCCCCCACAGGAGGCTTATCTCTATAGATTGCCTCAACTGGTTCCCTTGCATTTCAGCTTCCAGTTAGGTTAACCTAATGGGCGTGTGTCAGCAGGAGATGGGTAGGAGGGAGGGAGAAGAGTGAGGTTGACATTTCTATTCTTCTGGCTTCCTCCCTGCATGCATTCTCCCTCCCTGACACTTCGCAGTGGAAATGTCTCTCCACTGTAGGTGGTTATGTCAGATGGCTCTTTCCACATGATGACTCATTCTGGTCCAATGATCTCCCTTCTTCTTCCCTTTCAAGTCTGGATACTGCACTATTTCTTGTGGCTTTCCTAAACCATGTCCACAGTTTGTATATTATTTCTTTAAAAAAATACCCTTCAAATGACCCCATTTGAATGTGCCATCTGTTTCCTGCCTGGACTCTGATTGACACTGGAGCCAACAAATTCCCCTCAGTCCCATGTCAACTATATTTTAAACTATGCCTTTGTTAAGGCAATTTGAAGATAAATAAGTTCTTAAATAATTTGCTCCATGACTTCCCCTAGTTCAAATGCTTATTGAAGTTTTCAAAAAACAAAACAATAACAACCTGCTATATATATCAAATGTGTTCCTCTTCCCCCCCACCCCCAGTCAGTTTATACTTGCTTAACTGTATTATAACTTCTATCACCTTACTTTCACTTCTTGTACCATACAGAAGTGAAACTCCTAGTTCATTGTATCCAAAATGACCTTAGCATACTTTCTCATGGTAAATATGTTGGTTATATGAACCACAAATTTATGTGCCCATTGAGGTGAATAATTTCATAATTTCACAGTTGAGTTTCTTCCCAATATGTGGGTGTGTGCAAACTGGCATTGGGGAGTTAGAGTTGTTTACATCTATATTTATTAAATATGTCTAAAACATTGTGTATATTTACTATTATTTATTCCCTGAGCAGTCTTCTTCAAAAATTGAGATTCTTTCTTCCTATATACCCATGCCTACATCCATGTGTTAAGTAAACACTGACTGCCGCCCAACCATGTGCTAGAAATAAGCACAAATGAGACTAAAGCCCTGCCCTTTGGGAGTTGTATACTCTAGAATTGCCTAGTATCTTTCTCTGTAAAATCAGATGCAAATAATTTAATTTACTTACTAGAAATTCCATTATTTTTTGGCCCATGTTTGTTCGCAATTAAATGATAACTGCCCATTCTTGGATATTGTTTGGAATAAACTAATTTCCTTGCAGAAAGAAAAAAAGAGAATTTAGTTGGAGCATCCTTTAACTCCAACTAAATTCTCTTTCTAGAGTTAAAATGGCTCTTTAAAGTAAAAGGGAAATTGTTCAAGATTCTAGAAAGCACTTTTCTTACATAGGAACAATGGCAATAAACTGGGGGTGAAGTGGTCAGATTAAAATGATACCAGGTTATGCCTACTCACGTAGCCAGATTTTAAAACTAGGAACTTTGCCACCACATTCTAGGTAGAAAGGCCAGAGGATGTTTGAGTACCAGACACCTAGATTTCTACTAAGATTTCTGTTCTAAGCTTTCTTATATGTTATAATACTTTTAGTTTCAAATGCCAGAATACCAACTTAAAGTGACGTAAACAATAAAGGGAATTCATTGGCCCCCAAATAACTAAAAAGTCCAAAGGGAATAGCTTCAGGTAAGGCTGGATCTAGCAGCTCAAGAAAAACAAATGGTGTTTTTCTTTCCTTTTTAAATTTCTACTTTCTTAATAATGGCTCCATTCTAAGACATAGGGTTCCTTGGTGGCTCCTGGTGGCTGCTAGCAACTCCTAAAACTGCTGTTTCCTAGTTCAAGTGCAGAGGAGAAAAAAGAATCTGCTTCTTAATATCTCAACATAAAAAAAAAGTTCTGGAGTTGAGTCTCATTGAAACTAATTGTACTGATTTGAACTATCTGTCTATTCTGGAACTTGTGTGTGTGTGTGTGTGTGTGTGTGGTGATGGGCGGTCAATATGCAGATTAATATTAGTCATTCCAGCACAACTGCATGACTGGCTAGGAAGATTATCAGTTTGAAGGGGGAACTAGGGATTGGGTGCTAGAAAGGAGCTAATTAAGTGTCTGCAGCAGCCACTAACCACCCCCTGGAAGCTGAGACCAGGAAAAATAGAAAGGCATTTCCTTACATCCTTCAAATAAAGCTAGCCTGAGGGTATTGTCCCAATGTTCACTTTTGAGCTTCTGTCTTTCCCAACAGATCTGGCAATTCAGCAGCCTCTTCTCTAAGATCAACAGCTGGGAATTTAATGAAGTCACCTCCATGTCCGAGCACCTGAAGACATGTCCTTTCAATGTTGTAGAGCACAAGACTGACCCAATTCTTTTGACCAGCATGTGTCAGCCCCAGGAGCAGGCCCGAGAGAGCTTGGTCACCACCTTCAGAGCCAGACCACAAGGAAGACAACGCAACTAAAGATTCAGATACCACCATTCTTGAATTTCTCCTAAGAGTTACTGAAAGTAGGACAGAGAGTGGCTTGGGGAACTTCCCTCTGTAAACTGCATATAGGCTTATCTGGGTGTATTAGAACATGCATTGTCCTTCAAGGTCTAAGAATTCCCTAAACCCTGCCTTGTACAATTGCTATCGTACCATATTGATGACTTACTTCCTTTCCTTTTTTATTTCTAAGATAAATCAGGTTGAAGAGAGAGGTAACAAGGTCATTGAGGAAGATAAGCCCCATTTCTTAGAAATGAGAGAGCAATGAATTCCATAACCAGTATAGGCCTGTGCTTTTATTGGGGGTGGGAGGTCAGTTTATAAGCACGTTCAGATTTGTGGGGCAGGCAATACAGGGATGTGGACTAAGGTGCCGGTCCTCCATGGTGAAGGGCTCACAGTTTGAAGGTTCTGGGGCTGGAGTTGTCTTGACATTCAAGCCCAGGGCTGTTGTTAGTTGCCCCACTGCCCCTAAGCCAAGACAGTCTGAACACAGCCCTACAGAATAGAGACCTTGGCTGAGCATAGTAGCCTTGAAGAGACCACAAACCAGAGGATAAAAGGCAGAAATTAGGTCAGAGAGTTTGTTGTGCAGAATCTTGGCAACATATAAGAAAACCTTGAAAAGTGAAGAGTCCATAAGACACAATACTCATGGAGAAAATTAGGGCAAAAAGCCTCAAGCCTACATCTAAACATTTTAATTATGACTTAAGAGTCAAGGTTCTTTTCTTCTGAAAACGATAGGTCTGGATTATGAAGAACATTGCATAGCCCAGCACCAGCACCCACTGCAGGTCCTGCGGCACCAGTCACCAGGTCCTAGACACCACCTGAGTAACTCAGGGATCTTAGGAAGGAAGTCATGGAACAATAGTGGTTCCCTGCCATTGTTCCTACATATCATTGGCCGTCTTCAGGTGTCAAAAATGGGTGACACTGCTAGTTTTGGGTAACAAACAGTGAAACTCATGAGAACAAAACTAAAAAAAAAATACACAATTGAAACTGACTTCCCCTAAAGCAGGGTTTCTGGTAACTGCTGACATTGTGCACTGAATAAATCTTTGTCATGAGGGACTGTCCTGTGTGTCATATGACATCTTGCAGCATCCTTAGCCTCTAGCCATAGTACACCCACAGCTGTAACAACCAAAATTGTCTCCAGACATTGTTAAATATCCTCTGAGTCACTCCTGGTTGAGAACCACTGCCCTAAAAGATGACAAATCAGTGGCAGTAAGTTAGGATCAGCTGTTTAGTATAGCAAAATCTTCTCTCACACATAGTGACTTCATCAGCTCCATATTTACTAAGTAGGTTAGACACATGGAGATATTAACTTGTGAATCGAATCAAGTGGAGCTGGTTTGTTTGGTGTGCTTGTATGCCCTGGGGTTATGTTCAAAAGCAGATTCCTTCAGCTCTCTACCAGTGTAGCTGAAGCCAGGAAAGTGAAGCTACTTATCTTGTGTTTACATCCCTCTCACTTTAATTGGTGCCATTTTCTCAATCCTAGCAGCCCTTAAACAAGTGAGAAAGAAGGGAAAGGAAGTCAGACTCTGTGGGCAAGTAGAGAACAAAGAATTTAGTCAACAATAACAACAAAAATGAGGCTAGTTTATCTGGATGCTTCTTGTTGCCTGGATCTCTCTCTGAACATGGTCTGAAGCTGGTGTAGATGAAGTAGGTGGCACCTCTGAGAAGAGTCAAGAAGCATTTGAGCAAGTCCCAGAACAGAAGTATGCTCATCTTTTCATTAGAATATGCCACTTGATACTATTCGGTTATGTAACTCATTCTTATGGTTTGGTTTATATTGCACATTTGTATATAAGGCAACATTTTCTAAAAATATAGTGTGTGAGCTAATATTTTATTCAGTGAAGATGAGTAACTAGAAACAAATAAACACTAAAGTGGGAAGGGTAGGAGAAGGGAGATTTCTTCAAGTATCAATTCCATGTATTTTGGCTCAAGTCCTTATATGAAAAAAGAAAGCTCCTAGGGTCCATTCTGGGTCTTTCATTTTACTAGAAGAAAAGAAAGAAAGGGGAGCCAAGGGAGATACAGATTAGGGGCTACTGTTAGATGGGAGAGAAGTATAGAGAAAGTAAGAGAGCAGAGGCCTTTCCCTTTGCAATCTGGGTGGGTGGGGGCAGGCAGGGCTCAGGGAGCAATCTGGACAGTGCCACACTGCTCTGTGGGCTGCACAGTTTCTGTCACAATTTACTTTCCTTGTTGCTGCCTTCACAGCAATATTGAATCAATCAACATCATCAAACACATTTTGTAAGATATCTAATTGTACATATTGCAGAAAAGCAGGATACCGCAGTATATGCACTAGTTTATACAAACAAGCACATTTTATGGTGAGAGGGCAGTTGGAGCAAAAGGAAAACCTTTTATGAGACTGAATTAGGCAGAAGATGATTTGGTTAGTGAGGTAAGGCTGTAGTGAGTAGCGTGGGCAGCAAGCGTTATCTGACAGAGGCAAGACGGTTAGACATGGCTTCAGACTGAGAAGCACTGAGGGGAGTGGAAAGGGACAGTGTACCCAGGAATAGGAGCCTGGATGGAAGATGTCTACGAGGAGAGCCTTGATGAGTATCACCACCAAGATAATCAGTTCAGAGTAGAAATCAGCCAAAGTGGAGGGAGAGGTTTGGAGAACTGAGGCAGTTCTGTAAAATTGTTGCTTTAATAGAACAGGGGTCTGAAAAAGAAGTTTCTGTCTTAAAATAAAGGGAAAAGTCTAAAAAACAAGGAGGGACTTGGAGAAGTAACCAGAAAACCACTGTAAAATTCTGATCTGTGTGTGATGGTAAATAAAACTGAAGTGAAGAAGGGGGTTGTGTATATCTATGATGGCTTACCTTTGTGTCCTGGAAATCCCAACATCTCTATAAGCAGAAATAAAAGCTGCTTTGCACTCTGAAAGGCTAACTGGATGAACTTTGTAAGGTAGGACTAGAGACAGATCTGTGATTCACTGGCATAGAAGTCATTGTGAAAACAAAGGAGTGTATGTCTTAAAGAAAAGCCAGGGAATAAGCCTGAGGGACATAGTCCTCCCAGCACGTGGGCAGCTCACAGCTATAGGAAGTCCTGGAGCATCTGGGGAGCTCGGTCACCAATCCTAGCTGCACTCTCTTCATCTTTGAAAGTTGGGTTCAACTTCTGATACTGGTTATA